CTGACATCACCTTCCCCATGAAAGGCTGGAGGGGCATGGTGGACTGGGCCAAGAACTCAGAGGACAAGGTCACTGTCTCCAAGAGCATCCTGTCTTCGGGGCTGGCAGGTAGGCAGCACAGCCAGAGCACTCCAGAAGAAAATTTCATCTTCATTTTCTAAGAGAGGTTCCTTCCATTTGGCTGATGTTCAAATTCTCCTTCCAGCTGCGGTGGATTTGCTCACAAAACCTTGGTCACCAAAAGCATTGCTGGGTGCAAATAAGGCTTTCATATATGGCCTGACCAAGAGTCAGATCAAAACTCCTTGCAAAAGTTCAGGGGCAGGTTTAGTGCCTGGATGTTGATGTATATCTTCTCCTAAATAAGCAGCATATTTAGAAAAGAGCGGGAGTCGGTACAAAAATTCAGGGCAACACTGCATTGATGATTCCTTCTTCCAAGGCTTCTGAACCTGGGAAAAAGTGAAAACATCCCTATGTCTGCTGGGTCACCCTGTTTTTGATGCATGTGGGTGCTGAGCTGAGCCTGCAATCCTCTGCAGGGCATGTTGGGTGCTGAAATGAGTCTCTCATGCCTCCCTAAATACGCTGGGTTGCCATTAGGGGTAGGGAATGGTAGTTGTCGCTCTGGGTACCATATAGGTATGGTGAACCAGTACAAGAAAGGCAGGTGCATTAGGGGGATGATTCTGCTACCTATCGCCATGGCCATGTAGGCAAACAATGCTGTAGATGCTCTCCAAGACTGGATCCAGGCCTGATAGGGCCATGTAAGGGTAAGCAGCTGAGGATCAGCACGTCAGGCTGAGCAACTAATGGGTCTGGGTCTGCTGCATGGACGAGCTTTGCTAGATTGTGGTTTTATGGCAGTTGTGTGAAATTTTCTGCCCTCAGAAATGAAATGCACGGGCATTTATCACTGAGGTGACTGGCTTCACAGCAGGGCATGCATATGAGCCACGGTGTGGAGGCAGGAGTGCTGGGTGCATCAGCCAAGCTGGTCTCACCGCCAGATCTGAAAGGAAGTCTGAAGGGTTCTGGGCTGCTCTGCTGGAGCATCCAGCCCTTACCTGGATATGAGTCCCAAAGTGTGCTCATCTTCTGGCAGAGAGCTTTAGCATTTGGCAGGATTGAGGCCTGGGTTTCCAAAAGCAGGACCTTAAGCTGGGCCTGTTGCTGGGACGGTGGTTTTTCCTTGTGGATGCCCTGGTGCTGTGTGTGGCACTGGTGGCTTTGAGAGAGCAAGCTGCTGGCTGCTGCATCAGGCTGTGCTGTCCTTCCTTGGGACAGAGGCCAGAGACTGTGAGTTGCTGCTGTCAGAAGACCTTTGGCCTCTTCTTGTCATACCAGGACCCTTGTCACGGGCTTCCCTACTGGGGAAGGAAACAACGCAGCCATCATTTGTACCTGAGGAATCTGAGGCCAAGAACAGTTAAGTGACACCCCCAAGGGTAAACAGTGAGTCACTGGCAGACCAAGGATCACGTCCAGCACTCCTTGTGTTTTGTTGTGCCTTGAAGACAGCATTACCTTCCTGGGAGAAGCTGGAGCATGTTGGGAGGGTTATTACAGCTTGTTTGAGGAGGTTGTGGAGCCTTCACCTTTGGAAACCTTTAATCACTTGTTCGACAAACTGCTGGCACCAGACACAGGCAGAGCTGATCCTGCTCTGCGGCTGAGGGCTGTCCTAGGAGGCCTCATCCACTTCCCCACAGTTTTCCAGATTTCTATTACAAGCATCCTCACACAGAGCTGCTATAGGGCCCCAAGCAGTAGTCACCGTGGTGATGTCTACCCCAAAGAATCAATTTGGTCCTCACCTCTCCGTGGTGTCCTGTTCCACCCAGGGCTGCACTGCCTCCACCTTGTTCAGCATCCCACACTGGTGGTATCTTTTTGAGGGTTTACTCAGAGATTAACAGTGGAGATGCACCTCTATCCATTTTGATCCTCACCTTTCCTTAGCCACAGGGAACAGGGGCAGCTATCCTGAGCAAAGTGATGATGGCAGCTTAGTGAGACCAAAACCAGACCCCCTCGCTGCTGGGAGCTGACTTTGCACAGTTGATTTCAGTGGGCCAGCACTAATTTATGTAGTTGGGTGATGTGTCTTTTGGGCTGCGGGCTGTGCAAATACTGCTGGTGAGGGAACCAGTGCTGGGGAGATGTTACATGACCAAAATGTAATGCTGTTTCATGCTGGGTAGCATGTCAGAGGATTTTTTTTTTGTACACCAGAACTGATAGGAACCTGCATTATTAAAGATCTGTCCCAGACTGAAAGAGACAAGCTTCCACCTCTATTGCAACCAAGATTCTTTGCCTTCCTGGGAGGGTGCTGTGATAACCCAACCTGTGGGGCTTAGGGTTTTGCTTGCTCACAGTCTCATAGGAGCACACATTGCTTCTGTAAATGCCCTACTGCATCCTCTGAGCACAAAGAGGGAAAGCTCTCTTTGAAGGCAGCAGGATCCTTGTTTGCATAGGGATTCATGGGAAAGGCCAAAAGACTATGCCGGCTTTCCTAAAGAAGAGAGGCTTATGCAACTGCTCTTGCAAGCCTGTCTGTCAGTCTCTCCTAGTTATGTTTTCACCAGCTATCTCACTCGAGCCCAGTTTGATGAAGAGGAAGACAGACATGCAGTTGTGTCTGCCCTGAACTGATGGAGCAGGCGCACTGTAAGTTCAGTCTCAGTACAAGACATCAGAGAAGCCCCACATCAGGGTGCTTCCACAGTTGCTTCCTCAGCTCTGCTTTTCACCCAGCCACTTGCTTTTTCACCCCCTGAAAATTCAGCCACAGGGCTGCCTCTGTTGCCTGTGTTTTTTCCAGGGCAGTTCTTGCATTTTGCAGCTGGCCAGCGCGAGGCAGAGGAGGAGGAGGTCAAGTGACATCCCCAGAGGTCACACAGATGATTCAGAGGCTCATCTGAGACCGTGGCCCCCGCAGCCTCCCAAAGCAGCACACGGGTTGTGGGGTCAGACCAGGTGCAGTGGGACATCTCCCCTTCTTGGCTGCCCTTGTCGGCGCAAGCGCAGCTCTTCTCTCTGATGGCTTGATAGCTGTGGACGTGTTCGAATGCCTCTGGCTGGCTGCAAGAGACCTTTCCACCCTGCAGATTTGCCCGCTGTGGTGCTGTCGGAGGGATGAGTGTGATTTCTGAACGGGGGAGCACCAGGCCGGTCGTTGGGGATGAGTGAGTTTTGCATGAGGGCAGACACCTGGGGCGCCGGGTCCCCCCAAAGGCACTGTGCCCTTCCTTGGGACTGATGGAGACCTGGCGTGGTGACAGCAGGCACTGCATCCCACCGTAGTGATGTTGGTATTGGCCATGCCCCAACAGAGACCCCCTCCATGTGAGGTCTAATCCTGTACCTGGGTGTCCCATGGGGACAGCTGACATCCTGATTGTCTCAGTGCTGTTTTCTTCTTCCCTTTCCTTTGGTGTCCTGCAGAAACGGACGACTCCTCCGTCTTTGTGGTGGGGACCGTGCTGTACCGGAACATGGGCAACATCCTCTCCCTCCAGAGGTAAGAGGGGCTGCCTTGGGAGCGCGAGCAGCTGGGAGATCACCAGGCTTTCCTATTGATCCCTCTGGCTGCAGAGCCCTGGTCTTCCAAGGAAATAGCAAAGGTCACTGGGTGCGACGAGACAGACTTTGACTCGGCAGTGCAAATATTTTGACCCCCATTGACTGATGCTGCAAGTTCAGGTGGGGCCAGGTTCATGCATCGCAGACATCGCTTGCTGGAGGGGCAGGAAGGTTTTCTCCGTCCATGTGCAACGCCGTGCACCCCAGATATGAGGGGAGGCACAGTGCTGTTGCCGCTGCCACATCCCTGCCTGCCAGCTGCCTGCCACCCTTTGCCCTCCAGGAATGGATTCTCACGCTGCCCTCCTCATCACAAGCAATTTGGGGGCCTTGACAGATGGGGGATGCTCAGCTGCCCCGGTCCTCCCAAGCTACTGGGGAGCTGCCAGCCACGCTGAGCCCTCTGAGAGCATCATGGCAGAAGAGAGGCTCAGAGAGAGCAGAGGAGCATAGCAACATGCCTGGCTGCACATGTCTACCATGTTCCCAGCTGCTGCAAACCGCCTCGGGCACCGAAGCTTTTGTGTTCAGCACTCCCTTTCCTTTTCTTCTCTCCTCTCCCTTTCTCTTTTGCTATCTCACTCTTTTTTTCCGAGGCTGGTACTGAGGCAGTAAATTAAGCATCCTAAGGCACCTTCTAAATCTGTTCTGCACTGATTAGCGTGAGCCCATTTACCATAAACACCAGGGCATCTCTCCTCACTGATAATCATTTAAATACCTACAGATTTAGCACTAGCAATGGCAAAAGAGCTCCAAGTGAGTGCAGAGAGGAATTAGCAAGCCAACCAACTGTATTCTGTAATATCTTCCATTACAGCGCTGGGAATTAGATCAGAAGGGCAATAAACATCATTGGCTCAAATGATCCAGCAGTATTTCAGCTTTCTCTGGCCAACCAGTGAATGAGCTCTGATAACCAGCAGCTGCAGCAGCCACAGCCTCTGAACAGCTTTCCCGCGGGAGATCTGATTTAAGACATTCCTTAATTAAAGGACAGTCCCTCTTTAAAAAAATCCAGAGTCCTGAATCACCTGTGGAGATTCAAAGGAAAAAAAAATAAATAGCGAGTACCTCTTACTTCACCACTGTGCAAATGAACACAGCGAGAAAAAGGGGAATGTCTTTAAATAGCCATGTAGCTGTATAGCACCCGCCTATGGGGTAAAAATATTTCTGACCACAAAGGAGAGCAGCTATTCCTGGGTACACACAAGCAATAAGGACCCAGATCCTGGGTTTGACCACAATGATTCAATGCAGAGTGATTTTTTCTTAAATGAAAGAAATGTAGATTTAACTCAGCAAACTGCACCAGCTGAGCTAGTCCTAATTGTCCCAATTTACCTCCCCCAAGCAGCAATTCCTTATCTGAGCCACACGTTGCTCTGTCCCCTCGGATCCAGAGAGCCCTGTGGTTCTTGGCAGCTGTGACAACTGAGATGGGATCCACACGATGCCTGATTTTTCAAGCCAGGGAGGTGAGCGGCACTTGGTTCCCAGCTGAGCACTGCTGCAGAGGACGCGTGCAGCAGTTGGAGTCAACAACCTGGCACCTGACAGCCCCGTGTACCGAACAGCATGTTTACAGCCTTTTGCACACTCTTTACAGCCACGCAGGAGCCCTCTGAGCTCGTCTGACCTCCTGTCCAAGCAGATCTTGATGTGTTTTGTTTTCTTCCCAGAAGCTGGGTTGCAACATGCTTTTACGAAAGACGACTCATCTTCTTCCTGAAAGATTCCCTGTGATGCTGAGTCCCTCACCTCCCCCGGCAAGCTGCTGAGATGTTTAATTACCTTCTCTGCTAGGAGACTGTCTCTTATTTTAAGGCTGAATTTGTCTGACTTTCACTTCCAGGCACTGGGCCTTCGGGTGGGCGACCGAAAAATCCCCCACATGCAATGAACTGTCAGACATGCCTTTCAACAGAAAGTTTTTGTCTGGTTTTCTAGCACTGGGATCAATTTTGCATCTCTCCTTTGAACTCTCTCCCCTGTTTCCCCATCTTGAAGTGGAACTGAGCCCAACGGCACAGTGGCATCCTGACAAGGAGAGGTGCAGAGAGAAGATGACTGCTTCATATCCTTGTTCCTGCACAGGATCACTTCTGTCCTTTCTGTCACAGCTCTTTGCACTGAAGTCAATCTCCCTGGGTACATTTTGGGTCACAGCTCCCCGGAGCAGAGCCTGTAGCTCTTCACGCAGACCTTGCACTGTCCAAGCTCAGATGCCTTTCCTGCCTCTTGGATGCACTGGGATAACTTCTGGTTGGGCTGTGACTACTTGGCCATTAAGCAACCTTCAGTCTGCACACAAGTAACTTCTGTGTGCTAGCGACTTGCCACGCTGAAAAAATCAAATGCTGCTTCTGCTTTGTTTACCACATCAATCCGCATGTGGTCTGCAGCCTTCAAAAGGATGTATCTGTGTCATCTAGGTTGCTCATGCAAATATTCAACAGCACTGAACCAAGAACTGACCCTTACAGACCCAGCTACTAATGAAGACATGCACTGGTATTTACCTTTCAGCAGCTCCCATTTTTAGCTTATCTACAGCTGCCTACATTTCAAAGCTTAGAGCTGATATTTACTTCCATTGATGTCCCCCTTTACTCTTCCTTTGTAGACTGATATTTGCACTTTATTGTTTCTTTCTTTTCTTTTTTTTTTTTTTTTTTAAGGAAAATGTGTATTGTTTTTTCTTTACCCTGCTAAAACAAAGTTGTTTTTCCCTCTGCTGCTGGTGGAATAGCGGCTTTTCTGAGCATCCACTTACGTGGATGATTCCAAGTTTTTTTGGTTTGGGGTGGGTTTTTTAACCCACTTGCTGTTAAGCAAGGGCAAATCTTTTTCATGTAATTCTTTTGTAAAAGGAAGATAAGACCCAGAAAGGAATGTGAAAGATTTTGCCAATGCCTGTAGATTTGGTGGAG